TTGATTTTCTCGAACTATCCAAAGAGCTATTCCGTTCCTTCAACCAAGCAAGAAAATCCGGTTTCTGCTGGGAGGATTTTGCTGGAATCTTCGCAACCTCCAATTGGGTGCTGTTGGTAGTTTTGGCATGCTTCTCCTGTAATTGTTCCTTCGATTGTTGCCCCTCAAGTGCCTGAACACGTTGAAGCAATTGGCTAACAACTACTAACAATCGCCGATTTTCAGCAGCCAATTTCTCCTGCTCATCCTTTCCTGTACCATCGGTATTTTTGTCACCGACTTCACCTTCTTTGTGACCTTCTACTTCCACTAATGAATTCCTTGACTCTCCCTCATTCTCGGTTCCTTGCTCCAACTCGTTCCCATTTTCAGCGTCATCAACCTCAATCTCCTCGCGTTCGTGTTCAGTTCTTTCTGACTCTTCTCTCATCATGCGACTTAAGCTCTCATTCACGATAGCCAGCTCAGCTGCTCTCACTTCTGGTAGGTGAGACGCCATTGAAAAGTACGCATTCAACAACCTCACACACTCACTCGCAACCACAGCTAAACTGTTCGCACACTCCTCATTTATTTCACGCTGTTTTAGTCTTTCCATTCTGAACAGGATGTGAATCAACCTAGTTTTGAAACATCGATCCGGGGCTTTCTTTGACCTTCTGTTTTCCAAATAGCTCTTCATCGCATTCAACTTATCATCGCATGTTTCTAACTCGTCTTCGATCTCTACGTTCCTAAACTCAAATTGCACATCTGATTGATCATCTTCTTTTTTCAGGCTGTTACGTAACGCTCGCTCGAGGCTACTGCGCGGTGCAATCTGATCCATTCCACGGATCTTCAACTCATGCTCGAGCTCATCCACGGTCAGGTGGGCAGTATTCATGCCGTGGTACTGCACAAGAAACAGTGACATCTCCATCTTTGCAGTGTAATCCAACGTAAAATTTAGGAAATCGAATATAAAAGAACAAAATTCGTTCTCTCTCAGCGAACTGCTGTATAAAATTGAAAAAAGGTGCCTAGTTTTAAATACGCTTTCGCTGAATGAAAGTAAATTGAATTAGAAAAAATGCCTAAAATGTGTTCAAGCTTCTCAAACAAAGCAATTAATTAAAATCCTATTGTATTGTTCACTTTATGAATCTGGTTTTAATTGAAATAAAGTTTCTAGGTTTGCTCGGTGTTATTACTACACTCTTCCGAAAACACACAGATCAAGATAGTCTTCCGGAACTTCTCGCGAAAACTATACTACTTCTCCGATTCTGTTTTAATTTGTATCTCACCTATATTGGTAGCTATTCTTGCCACTTGGGACTTCCAAGACCTCTCAAATAATAATACCGATTACAAAATTTTGTTAAGTTTCTAAGTAGTTCGTGACGTCAATCCCGTGAGTGATTTCTGGACGTTTTCCCAGAGACTTCTGCAAGAAAAGTTGGAAAGATGTTAAGCGTTTCCCTAGCACGGAATGTCAAAGACAATTCTCGTTGGGCGCCAAAGTGTAACGTGCCAGTGCGGTGTTACTCCCAGCACTGATGAGACCCCCGTCTCCAAGCCTCAGGGTCGGCACACGCTCGTGATCATTCCGCGAACCAAGAAAACACTCAAAGTTCACTCAAGACAAACTCCCACTTTATTCGCTGACACTCACTCCACGGACGGTCTCCCACTTCCTTAGATGACTACTCCTACCTTGTGCTAGCACTACTCTTTGTTCGTCTTCGGGGCCCCTTCACCTGCCACTGCCGTCGTCGTCGTTCCTCTCCTTCGTCTGGTACCGCAACAGCTTCTTGGTCCAGGGGTGGACGCCTCTACCTGTCCCGTACGCCCCTCGAGTATGGTGACGGACTCGAGGCTTCAACGAACCACAAGGGTAAGTTGGCTTGCCTGGATTGGTGGCGCACACTGTAGCTGTGGGATCAGGTTCTCGAACTGCGATTCGGACACACTACCTTGGCGATTGGCGTGGTCGACTCCGGAGAAATACGTTGAGTACGCAGATATTACGGTAAAACCGCGAGGTCCTGTGGGCGCGATGGAGAATTCGAAATGGCGGTTAGTTAGGCATACGAACGGTTCTCATTAGGTGACGGTTGGGGCTGGTTCGGGGTTTTTCGGTGACGGTATTTACCTGGATGTAACAGTACGTGGCAACTTCCTCTACTCTGTTTAACTCCACAACTCCACTCCACGAAGATTACTCTCACTTGACTCTATTTATCGTTTACTTCCACTTGATTACTATATTTAGCTTTCTTGCGACTATCGTCAGCAAAGATCACCAGGCTAATGACTGTGCCTCTTGGTGAACGTTGACCCCGAACCGTGGCCGTTGAACCGTCGTACGTGCCACGAATTCTCCACGCAATGGCCCCCATTACGCCACCCCTATGGCTGTCCATTCATGACTTCACACAGCGTCCTCTGGTGGTGGCTAGTGGCATTGTCCTACAATTTATAGGGAAGTGTCTCCTACTGGCTGCGTTCGTGGGGATTCTGGGACGTTTTGCCTTTTACAAACAGTTAAACCTTTTCTTGGATTTAAATCAACAAAATATACGAAAACTACACGCGATTAATCTCACCAATCTTGGACGCAACACTTACACTTGTTACAGGCTTGTATACAAGCTTTGTAACTTCAACTTTCCATTACATCTGGTTAAAATCACCCGTAGTTACCTCCAGCAAAGGTCGTTTAAGGTATCGTTGAATGGTTGTCTTTCCGACACGTTTTCCATCCCAGCTGGAATTCCGCAAGGCAGTCTGCTTGGACCCTTGCTTTACAGCATTTACACTTCCGACATTCCTCCCCTTGGAGACGGTTGCGTGTTTTTCCTGTTCGCAGATGATACCGCAATAGCCGTCAAAGGAAGGATGCCTCGCGAAATAACGAACAAACTTCAACGATGCCTTAACGCTTTTGCTGATTATGCCACCACGTGGAAAATCAAAATCAATGCCTCCAAAACACAAGCGATCATGTTCCTACATCGGCAATCGCCCAAAGTGAAACCGGCTCCATCTTGCACTGTAATCATGGATGGCACAAGGGTTGAGTGGTCCGCCAAAATAACCTATCTCGGGATGTTGTTTGACGAAAAGCTCCTCTTCCGCTCGCATGTGGATAAAACCGTAATCAAGTGTTCTGCCTTGGCTAGATGTCTGTATCCGCTGATTTGCCGCAGATCCCGCCTCCCAAAGGTTGAACAAACTTGCCGTCTACAAACAAATCATAGCACCTGCGATCCTCTGCGCAGCTCCTGTGTGGGAATCATGTGCACAGACTCACAGGAACAAAATTCAGGTCACTCAGAATAGAGTGCTGAGGATGGTTCTTGATCGTCCTTTCGACACTAGAATAACAAATTTCCACGAAGAGGCAGGAATTGCCAAAATAGATTCGAGAATTAACGAAATTAAGACTAAATTTGCAGAAAAATGTAATTTATCAGAACATGCTTTGATAAGCAATTTGTATATAGTAGGTTAGGTGTATATAGTAGTTGTAGTTGTAAATAGTAGTTATAAGTAGTCTCCTTTTTTCCAATTCAAATCAAACCAATCCCACCAAGGTGGTCATACTTTAAAATAGGCCTGATAGGACTAGTAACTGTAAATAATAATTAAAATCTCAAAAGAAACTAAAGTTGAAAAGACGCATCTGTGTCACTTGAAAAATTATTATTATTATTATTTAACTTTATTAGGGAGGCTTTCAGCCTTGGGCTGGTTCGCCTCCAAACTTGAAAAATTCATAAATGTAAACCACACAAACACAAGAAATAAAGATCACTTTAAGTAAGTTTTACAGTCAGTTGTTGGTAATTCATCGAGTGTATGTCTCCTATTAAGCAATATTTTTTTTGAAAATGTTGGCTCTGCATGTAAAAAATTAATTGTTCATACATTATTAGGGTTTGCTTAAAATTTATTTCCCGAAAAAAAAAAGGGTCGTCAAAGTCCATGTCTTTTTCGGGTTATTGTTAAGGGGGAGGAGGAGGGGGAGGGGGTTGTTAAGCTGGAGGGGGTTTTACATGCACGTTTTTTCAAGTATCATTACTCATTGTGGTGGACACGCCGTGATCCACCTTTAGCCGCTGACCTAGTCCTGCTTGATGCAGGACCTAGTGCCACGCCGTCCGAAGCGGTAATGAGCAGATGCAGGAGAGCAGCGCTGATTTATATCTTTTCAGGTTCAAGCAGAATGATGAGCAACCAAGTGGTATTCGTTTATGATGACTGGGTTTGGGAAAAAGGCTTATTTCATGAAAACAGTGATAAAATTATCATTTGTACATTTTCAAAAGTTTAATTACAGAAAAATTAGAAAAATATTTATTTAATCAGGTTCGTAATGTTATATCCTATCGATTGGTGTATTTGGATTTTAATTTCATCTATAAATGACAAAGTTACAAGCGTTCAAAACCTAACACTCCTTCACCACACATATTTTTTTGATTTGCACCCCAGTACAGTTGACAAATACGTAGTTCTACGTCAAAACAAATCGCGATACAGAATTGAGTGTAATACAATAAATATGTCTCATGCTGAATTTTATTTCAAAACACATTTTGATCATTTCCTTGAGAGTAACCGGTCTCGAATTTGGCCAAGTTGGTTGAACATACTAAAAATATAAAGTGTAATATTTTTAACCAAATGTTAAAGAAACACACGATAATCCGATAGTTTTGCAAATTGTGTTTGTGTTAGCTTTTTTCAAATATGGACGTTATCCAATTGTGTTTGTGTCAACTTTTTTTTTCAAATATGCGTCCTACAAATGTTCGAATCTGGGAAGTGATGAAACATCCTAAGACTAATATACACATAGAGGCAATCAAGTGTTTTTTATTTACAATTGTATGCCTCTTTTTTCGCTGACAAATCTAGCATGTGCTCTGAACTTGCACCCTCTGTTGATAGTCACAGCGAATTTAGGAATGAACAAATGTTTGGATTAATCGGAAGCCGGTCCAATCGTCTATCAGCAGTAGAGGAAGTTTTCGTTTTTCCATTCTCTAATCAGTTCTATTTGTGCGTGAAAGGGGTTCAGTTTTATGTTGGTAACCTCGTAAAGCAGATGCAAAGTGATTCACAATGCGAATGAAAGAATTTTATTTGGTGACTGGCTTAGTGGTCTGTCTAAATAACTTTCGTAAGTTTTGCCATTATTTTGCAGTATAAAATGCAATAGAGTGCAGTAGAGTTGCTCGATTTCAGAAACTTGCGTTCGAGGTGAAGATGCAGTAAGTGATGATGATGCCTCCGAGGAATTGGATGATGCTTCGAGTGTGCCGCCGTTTGTACGCAGTAGGTTCAATTTGAGAATATGGTCCACGGCGGAAGATTACAAGAGTACTGGAAAAACAGGTTCTCCGTTTGATGCAGTAGTAGCGACGAAAAAGTCCAATCGGTTTAGAATAAATACAGTAAAATCAACTACCTCCGAAGCAGCGACTGACGGAACAACGACTGACGGAACAGCGACTGAAGAATCAACGCCTACGACTACTCAGGTTCCAATGTCCAGTACGACTGACACTGAAACAACAACGTCGAAATCGATGGCCACAAAGTTATCCGCACCGGAATGTGGAAAGCTGAGCGGCGATGACGTGCCATGGATTGCAATCTTGGAGCATACAAACCCAAATGGCGGAGTCCAAAAGAAGACCTTGAGCAAAGGAGTGTTGATCGACGATCGTCATGTATTGACGACAATTTCTAGCATTCACAATTCCTATCCATTCTGGGTGGTAACCGGAATACGCCTGGGTGACACTCCAACGTGGGCTGCATCGAAGGGTAGCAAGGAGATGAATTCCAGAAAGCGAGATGTGGTGTCGATACCTGTGAGGAATGTATTTTTACACGAGAAGAAAGACATTGCGGTGATAAGACTGTCCGAACGGGTGAATATAACCGAGAAAATCCGACCAATCTGCTTACCAGCCAACGATCGTTTTAACTACACGGATATGTACTTTCACATCTGCAAAAAGGACAAGTCCGGCTTCGGTAGAATGGGCATAAGCAGTAAACTGATTGCGGTAACTTATCTGAGTCAAAAGGATTGCCAAATTTTGTTCCGAAGACACAAAGCCGAACTTGGCTTGAAGGAATTTTGCGTTTGGGACGAAACGGGAGACAATTGCACAGGTGATTTGGGAGGACCTCTGATGGTAAAACTAGACGGTCGCTATCACGTGATTGGACTGAATTCTTATGCATTATTGGCCAAGGTTTGAGATATTCTATCGGAAATATGATGCATGATACTTTAATTTTGTGATCTCTTTTTATTCAGTCAAAAATCGACAGCGAGGGTCTGCCGGGAGTTTACGTTCGGGTTGGCTCTTTCTCGAAGTGGATTCAAGCGGTACTCAAAACGGAATTCGACGATTTGCCTGCAGCAGCGTGAACAATTCATTCACATACACACGAAGGAGAAAAGCAAAACTAGATCAGTACTGCCCTCTGTATGGTGATTAGAGTTTGATAGCAGCAGTTCATGAACGAGAAGTGTGCGCAACGTCTCGAGCAGCACGCGAATGTATTTATTATTATTACTTGGTTCTATAGCGCTATAAGTGGAATACCTCCTGCTATGGGATGGAAAATAACTTTGACATTACAACCGGTTTTCAACGATGTCGAATGATAATTTCACTGTCCGAGTAATTTATCACCAGCCATATAGTGTGGGATGCAAAAGTTTGGCTACGTGATTTGAAAATGTCACTCTGACAATGTTTTACAGTAGGAGAGGTTCCGGCCGAATACTTATAAACTGTGAGAGAACTTCTCGTAAGTGAAAGAATTATAAATCTGCATTTATAGTGTATCTCAAAATTGAGCGTACAGCTGTCCTTAAATTTTAGAACAACGGCTGTAGGAGCACAACTAAAAAAATATTTCTGAATTTTCGACTATCGGTATAATTTTGAGCTTATTTTTTCTCAAAAATAAAAATTTTCTTGAAATATAATAAACCAAATTTTATTCATTTATATTCATAAAAAAGATCTTTCATGTAACACTTATTTTACTAACATCCATCCACTACGAAATCATTTGAAAATAAAGCGTTTTACTGACATTACTTAAACTTTATGTAGGAGCTGCCAACAAAGTTCAAAACTATACAGATGGATCAATAAATAGTTGATCATCCACCAGTCAAGATTTCTTCACAGTTTTTCATAAAAATTGGCCATTCAGATGCACGCTCAATATTGCGATATATTTTTTTTATAAGATTCAATAAGAAGGAAATTATTTGAAAAAAATTGAAGTTTCATTAGCGGTGCCAAAATAAGAACGAGAATATTAAACTTCCAAAAAACTGCTCATGTTTAAGAGAAATTAATTAATTTAACTCATTCAATAGTCTGAATGACAGGAGACACCGTCAAATAGGAAGCACCGCATTTTGAAAAAGTATTGAGAAAGCAGAATTTGATAATGGTAGGATGTTTTTCTATCGTATGTTATATTACGATAGAAAAATATCATAACATTATCAAATTCTGCTTTCTCAATACTTTTTCAAAATGCTGTGCTTCCTATTTGACGGTGTCTCCTGTCATTCAGACTATTGAATGAGTTAAATTTGCACTCCAGCTGGTGGAACTTTACTTAAATTGGATATTCTCCTATTGTTGGTGTGGTTCAAATTTCATCAGAAATAACTAAATCATACTTCGATGCAAAAAAGTAATGCCATGATCTTGAATCACCATGTTAATCATCAGTAAAATATAATACATCATTCTGAACATTTTCCATTCTTCAGAGTCCACGGTTTGAAAAAGGTTGGAAAAATAGTTGAAATCTTATTAAAATTAGTCCGGGTGTGGGTTGTATTCCAAGATCTACTCTTCCTCTTTCTGGCAAAGAAACATTTCGAAAAAAAAAAATAAAAAAAAAGTAGTTGAAACATCAATGTTTGGACCGTAAGGTTTGGAGTGTGTACTTAGTACACCACCCAAGTATCAATTTGACAACCTTTTGGCTTTCACACTGATTTATTGTGGTTTCATAACGGCAATAAACAATCTTTTTAGTTTAAATAAGGATTTTAATATTACAAAACATTCTTGAGAAGTAGTTCAGCTTTATGCTGTTTTAAAACCTTTTTGAAGTCTGACGATAAAGTCAGAAAGTGTCTGGTTTTAAAAATGAATTTAATGCAGCACTCTATCCCTTTATAAAACTGTTCAGTTAATGAATCATAATACATATAATTATTGATGTCACGACAAAATACTCCATAATGGTGTTTTATCATTATAAAAGCAATTATAAAACCGTTTGGTTTCAAACGGGATCAAAAAGGATATATTGTTGCTTTTTCAATTTCAATGTATCACAAAACTCTCCACTGTTTACAAATTAAACAAAAAAGATGATAGAGAAAAAATAAATCGAGTATTTCAAACACAGCATAACAAGGAAATGCCGAAGGATAGTAATAATAGCGATAGTAGGAAGGATAATTCCGGCAATGCTGTCGACGGAAGGGAAAATGAATCCAATTCCAGAACTTCATAGGAGGCCCAGCAGTTCCGAAAAAACCGATCGATAACAACTGAGCAGCCGACTGAGAAGAGTGAAGTGAATGCGGTTCACGAAGCACTGGGAACTGACAGTCAGCTGGAAATTAGCTGCCTCCATAGCAGCGGTTTCATTCAGTGAAAGGGTCAACTATTCCAAAAAATCCAAGCGCACATAAACTTCATCGTTTCATCCGGGAGAAGGGAAACTTTTCGGGAACGATTGTTCTTCCACCTGTTCCAAGCTATGTAGATTCACTTCCTGATTAACGGCTTCCAATGGATGAAAATCGCTCTTATCGAGTGTCGCCCGCAATTTGTTGATCCAACGCTAGAGTAGAACCTCGTTGAAATAATCACACAACAAAACTTTCGAAAGATAAACAAATTTTGACGTTTAACTTTTTCCAGGCAACTTTGCCATTATTAATGCCGTCATAAAACTATACGGCATAGGATCAAAAAAAATGACCTCAGATAAAATAATTCACTTTGAAAATTATCCTCTTATACCGCTCCGAAAAAAATTGAGTTTCGGTTTTTTTTCTAAAATTATTGGGAAAAGATATCAAAATTTTTTTCTTATTTTTTAAAGAAAATTCACGTGCAAAAATATTTTTTGTAACTTATCATGGCATAAAGTTGAACTCAAAAAACCACAAAACATCAACTTTTCGGTTTTGCGGAGAGTCCAAATTTTTTTCATGATGAGATAGAAAAGCTATTTTTACATGTAAATTTTCTCAAGAATCTTATGAAGAAACTGATTTTCTTGGATTTTTGACAATTTTTTCCAATGTTTTTAGAAAAATAAAAACGTGCCGAAAATATATTTTTTTTTTTTCGGGGCGGTAATCTTCCCCTTAAAGGTTAGGTTATCTTTATGAGCGAGACTTTCAGCCAGAGGCTGGGTCATCTCTTCTCCGCCACATTTTAGAACGTTTTTAATTTGTTAGCGATTTCATGAAAGCAAAACAGCTTTTACACAAATGGCTTATGGAAAATTAAGGTCTATCTATGCTCTCGCCATGTTGTTATATTCCATTTATTTTTTTACTACCTATACTCAACCGGTGGATGTAATAGCGAATTCGTTTATTATCGGGGTTGAAACCAGTTCCAACCCAGTGCGAAACCGAACTTTTTGTCAGTGCGAACCTCAACCTGAGCTAGGTTTTAAAAACAAACGAACAAGCTGACGTTTGTCAGAAAACAAGCAGACCCAATCTTGATACCCGATCCAGGTTGGAACTGAATAATAAACGAATTCGCTATAAGATTCGCTTACAATTATGTGGGATTCATCATCAGAGGATGTAAGTGGAGACCGCACGAACCGAGGATGCAATATACCTAGCTGCGGTCCAATGCAAGAGAATTGGAGACCGAAAAATGTGGAGTGTATTAGTGAGTGAAATGAATTATGTCGAAAAAAATTGGAAAAAGGTTGCCGACTGGGACTCGAACCACGAACGTTGTGATTATCAGACCTGTGCTTTCTCCACTGCTCTCTCCATGCTTCTGAATATGGATAGCCTAAAAGCAAACAAGAAACGCTCATCTCCTCTCACACTTGACTTCGTATGCTTTTTCTGCTGGAGAGATTCGAGGCAAGTGTGTGCGTCGTTCTGCCATGTTATACATAAAAATCAAGGCAAATGCTTGCTTGTGTAGATGAAAGCACAGACAGAACACGAAATAAAAAAGGCAAAAAACCATTACATCGCCTGTAAGGTCAACTTCTAACATTCGCTGCGATGTTCATGAACAGAGGATGATAGGAAGTGGAACTAACATTCATTGTAATAAAGTTTTGGTTTGCGTGTATGGTTTCCAAGATGTTTTTCCTTGAAAATAAGTTTATTCCCATCAATTCATCAATGAACAGTAATAGAGATTACGAAAATTATCAAATTATCTCGGCTAGGTGCAACGATTAATATAACAAAATAACTATATTTTGTTTCATTCATTCATTTATTTAACGTCGGTCTCTGTTCCGCAATCTAGTGCCAATCACCGACGGACATCGATTGCCATCCATTGACGGCAGTCGAATGTGCAAGGAAGGCAGCTTCCACACCTGCGTAGGATATCGCACCCATTCAAACACACATGGGCCGGGACCAACGGCTTTACTTCCCTTCCGAAGGAAGACGTAACTAGAGATTTTTATGCCTCAGAAAAATCCCACCGACCTCGGCTGGGATTGAACCCAGACCCATTGAAGTGTAAGAAAGCAGTCACGCTTACCACTACACCACCGGCGCCGGCTATATTTTGTTTCCTTAATTAAAAATAATTAGTAAAATCAACGTTTTCCGAAGGTGGACTTATTTTTTCCTATCATCTGAAACACATTTCACATTAGATTTAATCTGTCATCTAAAAATAGACCACAATATGATAACTGTTTCGATAATTTTGGTACATATATCTTTCACTTTAATGATGCTGTAATTTATGAGGATATTCGACAGATCCATTTTCAAACAATGAATTTGGCAAAATCGGGTGATATTTATGTATCCCTTTTTATCTTGATTGATGCTTTAATTTTAGTTCGCTTAGCAAGCGTCAAAGGCAAATGGCATTTATTGTAGTTTTAATAAGGATTTCAAAAGTCTCTCGTATAACCTTTTTGCAGCAAATCAATCTTGAAGTGCCTTGAAAATATGCCCTTCAAAACCTTCTCCAGGGTGGGCCAACTAGACAGTAGTCTTAATGAGGTTTTGGTGGATGTAATAAAGGCAAAACGACGTATGCCTATGAAAAAGTTTTTCTTGAAAACATAGTATCTCAAAACATAGGACCTCAGTAACAACATCTCTCGGGCTTCTCGCGGAAAACAAGCTTGCTCGTTAACTCGCAAACAATATTGCATAAAAGTTCTATAGAATGTATAGACACGTCAAAGTGATCCGATGCTAGCGCTGCGGTGAGTAGTTCGCGGAAATTATAATATGCAAATCAACCGTTAAATGCGTGAACGAAGATACACAATGAAGTGTTACGTCTGTTTGTCTGTGGCAAAGCTGTCTTGACCAGGGTTTTATGAATGTTGTTTTATAGTAGCCTTGTAGTACTTCATAAAAC